GGGTTTTGAGAGGAGATGGTGTAAGGTGATTTGTGTTTTAAGAGGATGATTATTTGTTTTGAAGCATATAGCCTGAGAAGGTAAGGCTGAGGCTCAGTGCCCAGTTAAGAGGCTACTGTCGTCGTCCCAGTGACAGGTGATGGTGGCTTGGTCTTGGTAGAAGCAGAAAGCTAGAGCCAACAGGATTTGCCAGTGGAGTGAATGTAGGATCTGGGTCAGACTTAAAAATAAAATACTTACATTTATACTTCTCTCAACATTCTGGTTGTAAGTCATATAAGCAGAGGTTTCAAACTGGTGACCTGATATGTGTGTTTGCGTGACTGTGTTTTAGTCGGTTTTATTGAAATGAAACTTACTTACATCTAATAACATTCATTAATTTTTAAACGAGCAGTCTGTGGAGTTTTGATAAAGGTACACAGCTGTTGATATACCAAAATCATGATGTAGAACATTTTTATCTCTCTAGAAAGTTCCCTTATGCCCATTTGCCATCAATCCCTTACTTTCACGCCAGCTCCTGGCAACCACTGGTCTGCTTTCTGTCCCTCCGGTTTTAAGAATGTCATAGAAATGGAGTTGTCTGCCTTTGTAGCCGGGCTTGTTACCATAGTGCTTCTGAGATCCATCCATATTGTTGCATGGATCAGGAGCATGGGCTTTTTTATGTTACACAATGTAATACAACAGACCATAGATCTATTTATCAGTTAACAGGTATTTAGATTTTTTCCAATTTTCAGATATGATAAAGTAAGCTGCTATAAACATCTGAGTATAATTTCAATCTAGGTCTACTGTTAAGCCATCCAACCCATGTGTGTTAGGACAGTCGGAATATTCAGCTTCTATTTCTGACCAAAATTCAGAGAACTGACAATTGTCCATGAGAGTGAATGAAGTGTCCACCATTGACCCCGTGACACAATAACACACAATAGATTCAAAATATTTTCAGCATAGTACCTGGTGATGAACATGATGAATAACTGTAGGCTTTACACACCTTATGTTTTCACAAGCTTTCAAAGTTGTCCCTTTCTACTCCATACATATTATTGGCACCATGTGTTGGTAGTACATCTTAGCCGATTCCCCTCTTCAGGTTACACTGACTCAGTGTTGTCTCAGCTTCTTTGAAAATATCCCATCGTTCCATTCAGACTCCTCACAGAGGCCAAGCCTACAATCACCTTAAGCTTGGCTTTAGAATCTTTGAATAAACAGTATTTTAAAAATAACAGTTATATTAGACAGTAATTCTACTCAACTAATATTGAGTAGAATTGGTAATATCTGTGAACCATCCAAAGCCAAGGAAAACTGCTTGAAATAATTTGCTTGCTTTACAATTGATGATAGATGTTGTTCCCATGTCCTCCCCTCTTCTCACATTAAACCTCCTAGTATTAAACAAGTTAATTTTCTCAGGACACATTTTTTTTCAGCTGCTATATTCAAACAGTTTTATCAGCTCACTATTAGTAAAATGACTCTCCTTGTTGAACAGATGAGGTACTTGGAAACCTACTTTGGTTGCATTTTCTTTTCTTTTTTCTTTTTTTGGTACTGGGGATTGAACCCAGGGCCACTATATTACTGAGCCATATCCCCAGACCTTTTTTTTTTAAATTATTTATTTTTTTAGTTGTAGACGGACACAGTATCTTTATTTATTTATTTTTATGTGGTGCTGAGTATCCCAGTGCCTCACATGTGCCAGGCAGGTATTCTACCACTAAGCTACAGCCCTAGCCCCCACCCCAGACCGTTTTATTTTTTATTTTGAGACAGTGTCTTGCTAAGTTGCTTAGGCCTTGCTAAATTGCTGAGGCTGGTCTTGAACTTGTGATGCTCCTATTTCAGCCTCCAGAGTCACTGGGATTACAGGCATGTGCCACCATGCCCAGCCATCTTCATCTTTATTCTTTACATTTATGAAGAAATTCTGATATAATAAGATAATCTATTTTAAATGTCTCACATAAGATAACATGTTCTACTTAAAATTTTCCAATTTTTCTGATGGCTGTTCTTCTGAAAGTTGGGAATGTGTGGTAAGTGGTTAGTTTGTTAATGTACACATATATTCTTTCAGCATCACTGCACAATAATTTGTGCCACTCAATAACAGAATAATTCATGTTCCGTTGGATTATTGTTCAGGCCTGTGTATGGGCCCAGCTTCTCCCTCTGCCCAGTTCTGCTTTCATCACATTTCTCACACAAGGGTGGATCCTAAGGGCATACCTTAATAATTATCATGTATCTAAATT